TAAATGTACACATTGCTGCCTATGCAATTTTCGATTAACACCTTTCACAAAAATTGATGCCTACGGTCTACAGGTTGGTGAGGCTGCTGATTGGAAGGCATTGGGGTCTCGTAACGCAGAGTGTGCAGGACATTAGGCAGACCAGCCACGCCGTTCCTTCCGACCACACTGCTGCACCCATGCCAGCAAGAGTGAAAGGTACTACTGCTCCAAATTAGAACCTCTCAACCACCAGTCTCTGACACTACTGGTGGTGATTGTGCTATAACGCGCAGTGAAATCAAGGCAAAGTGGTTAAGAATATGCCGGCCCAGCGTACTTTGTTTATAATGACAGATACCTACAGCTTCGGTAATTATACAAGCAGCTGTAACACAAAATAAAGCATTTTATCCAAACAAAATATTTTTGTTGTTTCCCCACTTGCCTCCTCTGGTGTTTTAATTTCGCATTGTCAAGACCCTAACATCTAACCCTGTTATGCAGCAATCTAATTGGGTATCGTCTATTAGGAGTTTAATGTGTCGACTCAAGTGAGAGGAAGCATCAAGAAGAATGAGGGATTGAAAAGACTCCGCTGCCCCCTAATCTGTTCGCAGATAATCAAGGTCAGAGCAATGTGGTTCGTCGTTATTCCATATACATCGATGGCCAAAATGAGGAAACTCACAGCCTTACTTTATTTGAATGCCTTAGACAGAAATGATGAATTTTTGACACATTCAGTCATATGGATGTGATACAAGATTCGGGCAAAACACTTGACGCAAAACCAACCATTGATGTGTACACTATCGAAATTTGCTTTGCTCCGTCAAACAGTTTATATTTCTCAGGCCAAAGCCTCTCATTGCTCCATTACTGCCATAGCAGTCTCCCGGCTGAAGGTATGCCGGTTTGGACATCGATGTCGCTTGTTGTGTATGCAAGAGACAAGCAAAGGGCAGATGTGACATTCATTCCACTCATACACTGCATGGTGCAAAGACTAGGTACCACCGTAAATGGCCTGGAAAGACCATTGCACGCATATTAATTGTGGATGCGTTTTTGACGCCTGTTATTGACCCCAGAGGCAAAAATAGCACACTTGAAGCATTCATTAACTGCCAGGTCAGCATTCATCTGACCCATTCCTAGTGACCTAGTACCACAGGTCAGGGGGCCAACTCACTTGATGAATTGCTTCCATCCCAAAAATATGTATGCGAAGGTGTGAGCTCAGTATTGTATTGATTGGCTAGCACGTTAGCCAATCAGCAAAGTCTTCAAATGTTTGTACACACCGATCGATAAATGATTAGAGTTCGCGATTAAGGTAATCGTGGATACTCAAAGCCAGCATTTGTCCTTCCAGTTAATTCACTCTGCAACTACATTTTGAGTGATTAATGGGCAATTTGGTGGTCACAGCTAGCGAGGCATTAAGTGTAGCCAATATGATAGCAGGAGGGGTAAATGATCATGATACGATTCGGGAGATTTGTGAAATTGTTGAGGTCTGAGCAGCTCCTATCAAGTTAGAAACTTATGCAAGCTGAAGTCGCGGGGAGTAAGTGTACAAACTTGCTGCAAGACTTGATTATTTCCTAGTGTTTTAAGCACTGATTATTAACAAACACAAAGCACTTCCCTATGACATTAGCACAAAATTCAAGCTGTCGGTTTACGAGTTTACACAGGCACAAACTTAATGCCCATATGAATAATTTAATGGTCGGCATGTGTGGGGAAAAGCTGTACTTTGTCGAATCAGTAACGACGAGAATTGAGGCTTTGGGACTTCCAAAATAATCTTTGCCTTAGCAAGAGTGCGCAAAGACGAGCTAAAACAATAAGTTAGATTTGGCGAAAATGGTATTGAAAGATGCAATATCTTGTGTCCTCGCAGGTAAGCTTGAATGTTTACATTTTTCAGCCTTCTAGAGATGCACCTCCCCCTTTGCGTAAAGCCACAATGTCGAAAAAGATCATCTTCTAAAGGCTGAGCCGTAGTGGTTAGTCTTTGGTCTCCGGTACTCATTGGGCAATAAGAACTGCCACTACGGCCTGATTTGATAGGCTTGCATCAAAGGACAAATGCGCTACTGAAATTTTAAATAAGTACGATGACAAAAAATGCCTCGCATGACCTACTTTTCTGACACCGCATTGCTTTGTGTATATTAGAAATGTTGATGACAAGGGCTCCCAAGGCAATATTAGTATATTTATTTAATTTCATTTGATGCGCATGCATTGACCTCACAAATTCCAAACAAGGCTGCAGTGGTCAGGCTTGTCACTTGCCTGCTATTTTGCACGCTTTCTGGCACGTCATGGAGGCTTTGAGTTTGAATGATGTTTCTTTATGTGGCGGGGACAGATTGTTCTTGTGTTTAATCGCTGCCGATGATCTGACGATGTAGATGCCTCCTTCACTCGGCACTCCCTTCAATTCCCATCTTTCACTTTTCCATTTTGAAGGCAATTATTGAGGTGCTGCTGCAAAAGTGTTCGGGTGAATGCACTACGATAGCACCTGTGAAGCCTGTGATGAACGGAATGCGTTTGTCAGCGAAAGGATTCGCACTATGGATACACACATCCTCGATCACCTTGCACTCTGCCACTCACCACCACTTTGTAGTCAGGGAATGGTCCCTTCAAATAAAACTGCACCTACCGCCAGGGCAGGAGGATTGCCAAAGTTAATAAATTAGCGTCAGAAGTGAGCATTTTGTCCTGTGGAGAAGTTCACTAACTTTACAGCAGGACATCTTAAAGGATATTTAACCTAAGACCTTGACCCTACAGTTCACCTGCACTTCACTTCCACTACTTGCTTTTTCCAGGATCGAAAGCCCATTGGATAATTCTACCATGTTGTGGGTATGAAGGTGACATTGGCAGGAAACGACAACAACCAACTCATCTTTCAGTAAACGTGACACTGGCTGAAGTATTGTTCACTCATTCAAAGCAGTCGTGATTTCGTCTTGAATGCGCGTGTATTTTGAGTGAGCCTAAGCCGTACCAAAAGCGTATCATCTGGTGATAAAGGCAACTCAGCAAATGCATTCATTATTCCCCAATTAGGACGAAGAATCGCTGCAATTGTATAGCCACACAGGTCTCAAAAGCCTAGCAGATGCGCAATATTGAGGGCAAAATAAATGTAATCAGACAAAGCACATATTAATAATTACTGCCTCAGGATTGTGAGGGAGAAGACAGAAGTGACTTCTGCATCGCACACAGCACCTCTCCTACCACCACCGCCACCACCATGCGTACAAAAGAGCCTCGTCTTCAGGAAGGTAACAATCATCGACTTCTCAACATGGACACCCTCGTGTTGTGCGCCATCTGCACTCCATCGCCACCAGCACAGCCACCTCCTCAGCCGCGTCGCCGTACTATGCGACTGGTCTGCAATCACAAGGCAATGTGATGATCGTATCAACGACGGAGGTGGCGATGGGTTGTGTGAACCCCATTTCGCCGAGAGGTGTGCAAACGGGATTGGCAATAGGGCGGCGTGAGGACGGTCGCACAGATCGCACAAACATCTGATGGGCTCCCTTAAACCCCAACACAGCAACACCTCGAGGCAGACCAAAAGGTTAGTGAGGAGGAACGCTGGATTAGGTCACGTGTTTTGCGTGACATGGGTTGGAGTGACGTCGGAGCGTGACAAACAAACAATTTGCTGGGGGTTCAGTCAAGCTTAGAACAAAACCACTGCTAATAAAGTAGTAGCACAATGAATTTATCAAATTTTTTCGACCTTACAACATGCCTAATAGTGACGTCTTTCGGTACAACCGTTCAACCAGGACTCTGAACAGCTTAGACCTTTTTACTAAAGTCGCTGTGACGTCTTCTGACGTTGAGCGAAAATTAGGCGCTGCAGATTTGCAATTCCTTCACCACCAAACCCCAGCGACGGCACTCAACCTCCACAAAGGCATTTGCAGAATTCCATCCCTTCACGAAAAAGACTAAACTGAGAACATTATGCATCGAAAGGGGGATCAGGAAGCTAGTCTTCGTTAACTTTGTAAGGTGGCAAAATATATTGTAAAAGCATGGTAAAGCGGCGAGGCTACTGGCATGACCTGAAAGCCATGCTGGCGAGCAGAAGTGTAATCTACCTGCGTAATCCGACGCAAAGATAGATCACAGCTATTTTTATTTGAAAACTACTTTAAACTTTGTAAACTCCCCTTCTATTCTCCTCTACTCTAGTTAGCATTCATGGAGGAAGGTGTAGAAGCAACGATGCTATTGCAAGAAGATGGATACGCCTTGCTTACACAGTCGCACGTCCTCACAATCATTGTTTTTTTAACAAAAAGTGTGGAATGAGAGCAGTCGTAGTGCATTCTTGCACCGTGGCGCTGTAGTCTGTTGGCTGGTCAGTAGGTCGCACACAGCACCCGCATCTTTCAGCTGCCGTATAAACCTGGAATGCAGAGGTCATCATACTGGTGAACTAGCGATTTAACGCTTCAAAGTGGGTGGCACACTACTCTGCCATAGAGCTCTATGAAAGAAGTTAGCAATGAATGACTGTCTCGGCATCAATGCGAGGAACCTAATTAGTTCTCTTCTTCCATTTTTCGGCACTTCCAACGGCTCCAAGTTCTCCTCCGGCAGATACTGACCCACTGTTCTTGAAGAGGTAGGCGCATACAATACGTTTAGGAAAATCGAGGCGCTGAGTTCCCTCAGATTAGGGAAATTCGACAAAACACACTGACTACCATTGTAGAGCCACGAAGAAAGAGAAAGGTGGAACGCGAGACATGAATCCAAAAATATATTTACCTTTAAATACGTGACAATCGGGATTACACGATAAGACAACCATAATAGCGTCAACAGAAGCCACACAGTCTCTGTTATAGTCCATCATCACCTCGCACCAGTGGAAGGGGGAAGTTGAAGAGTTTACTACATTTCGCACATTTAGAAGAATAATTTTTGTATACAAATAAATAGCAAAATATTGACAATCACTGATATGTGTCACAGTTGTCCATAAAAGGCGCTTCTACCTCAGCAGATGAGAGAAGACGAAAAAGGGGTTCAGTCTCAATGCCCAAATACACACCAGCAGAGGGAGACGAAAGTGACAAATTAAAAGCATTATTCGAAGTGATAATGTCTACATCGTCGTCTTCCAACTTGTCCTGTAATGGAAGATCCCAATGCTGCGTAGTTGAGGACTGGAGGGAGTGCAAAGAAAGTCTGGGAGACAGGCGGATAATGTCGACAGGGGGAGATCGGAGACGAATCGGAATGTCAAAAGCAGTATCTTCCCCTCCATGAGAAAGTCTGTCAAGCACAGTATAAATAAGCAAATGGGTGGTAGTCATTACGCAACAATTAGGTCAACACTTACTCTCCGTCCGCAAAATGGAAGTCATTTTCATTATTCAAAATTTCTTTAGGAGGTGACAAGTGCGGCGTTGGAAGAGTAGGTGAGAATAGCCGACGGCGTTTCGACAGACGGGAGTCCGAGTTACTAGAGCGTCTCTTGGGCTCTATTGTAAATAACCCATCTGATTCTCGCAGTCTCTTATCCATTTCCAGAGCTACTTCCCGGGGTGTGGGCAAATCTCCACCATCACCGTCAATACTTTGATGCATTCTACTGTAAGTGGGAGCGAGATAGGACAATCGTATCCGTACTAAAATGCATATTTAAAAGAAGGGCAAATGAAATGACGACTCACCACCTATCCGTTCGTAGTGCTTCTTTGACTATTTTGGAATAGCGCCGATGCTTCTCCATTGGAGATACGATGTGAGGCCTATTTTCAGGCAATGGTATTCCTCGTTTAAGGCACTCCGCCTCAAGAGTTTGGATCGCCGTTTTGTGGTAGTCAAAAAAGGCCATCTCGTGCCTTTCATTCTTGACTATTTCTGACGAAATCAAGAGAATTTGATGGTAAGATAAATTTTCAGGTGTCTTATTGACACCAGGTAGATAAATGCGAACGTCTCTCTTGGAGATACATGTACGAATCAATTCATAAATAATCGACTCTTCTCGACGCCGATCCCGTTCCCGAAGATTGTGCTCATGACGATCCCTCTTCCTTTCAATCTCCGATAATGATGCCGGTTTGGAACTGATAGTCCGCAAGCCCAAACGACCACTCTCTCCTTCCTTCACCTCCTTATCCCATACGAAGGGACTATAAGTATGCTTCGGGGAGACGGTGATAGGGGGTTGCGTAAAAAGAGGTTTTGGTCTAAACGGAGAGAGGGGAGAACGACTTCTCGTCATGCTATCCATGCATCGACATTCACTATTCTTACCAAATGTTTGAAGCAGGTGCTGTTTTCGAGAGCGACCAGGATTTTCGAGTGTTCTGGGATGCATGCCTGAGCAGTGGATGAAAAATAAGTACCAAGACATAGAAACAAATCTCAGATTTACCCAACTTTAAAAGCAATTTCAGCAAATAACTCTCTAACTTTCTCCTGCAACTCCTTCAAGATACCTTCAAATCAATAGATAACACTTCTCAACAAACTTGAAATTGGTGATCGCAATAAATGACACCTCAAAGACAAAAGTTAACTGCCAAGATTTCTTTGCCAAATTTGAGCAACCCTTTAGACCATTCAATTTTCCTTCCAAACGAAGTAAAAAATGCCAATAAAAACCGACCTAATGCTTGAAATATGCCACAACGACAGCACACCACATAGTACTCACCTGAGGTTAAATAACTTGCCAGAGACGATCAGCTGTAAAGCAGTGCACCGCTTAGTAGTAAAACAAATCGTTACAATTTAAATACTGCTTTAATAACTACTTATAACGAGACTTAGCCTAATCACGCATCAAAATTCGACCTCGAATTATACACAACAAGTTTACGAAGCGAAGTGTCTGTGCTGATAGCGCTGCTCTTTAAAATTTGACTATGTACTTTAACTGTTTCTGATAGAGCTTTAATGATTCTTAAACTGTATTGCTTTTATTAAGACCGAATTGCGTAAGTCAGTTGCTTAATATCATTGTTGTTGACGAATTTCAGCTCACAAAATTATAAAAGTGAAGTAAATTCTATGCAACATATGGTTTTAATGCCAAATTACAGTTGTAATGCTTTATTTAAGTGATTACCTGTCCTTGTACTCGGGGTCTGGCCTTCGGGTCATGCTCAGGCCCACTTTCTCTGTTCTCTTCTGAATACATGTATTTAGCTGCGCTTACTGTCTTCTTCTACCCGATAGGAAGTCTCGAGACACTACATTAGTGGCAGCGGAAGGCGAACTCGTCATTTTTCCAATGACTTCCATCCTAGCACGTACCGTTTGTTGCATGCACCTACAGTGTGGAGGAGAAGCACTTATTTCGGTGATGGAGATTCTATGACTCCCTCACAAAAAAGGAGTTAAGACTGACATTTGCATTCAGCTTTACCTTGTACCCTTGTTCCATAGACAAGCTTTTAGCATCTGAAGCAACGCCTCCGGGAACCATCCAGAAAAGTTCCGTGCCAGAGTTTTTCCGCTGCGGTTCTCCCTATATGCGGGACAGTGGCTCATCCCGTTTTCTGTTATATATCTGGTTTAGACCAGAGTTTACCATCCAGTCCTGGACGCAAATGATGGTCAACAGATGCGTCCAGACCCAAATCGAGTTGTCAGACCGAACCTAACAGCAGATTCAGTTGAAGCTGCTAAGAACACAAGGTACGGTTCCTCAGTCTCATGGTATCTGCCGGCTGGCGCCGTCTGCTCGTGGGTGCTTTCTTGTAGTACCGATTAAATTATGATGGCTGGCACTGGAGGCTACCAAGGAGAGCGCCGAGCGTGTTAATCGAAAGAAGAGAGGATCGGTGTAATGCTTTATTTCTCTGGACCTTGTACTTGTGGGCTGGCCTTCAGGCCATGCTCACACCTATTTGCCTTTTTCTGTTTGGTTTACACATATCTAGCTGCACTTGCTGACTTTTTCTGCCGGATAGGAAGTCTTGGGACGCTACAGTAATTTCACTACTTTGATTATGTAAACCCGTAAAGACTGGCAGTCCCTTAAGTTTCGTTTGTGATGTCCTGAGACCTCTCACCGGGTGGATTCATGCATTCCAATGAGAACAATGTAATCAGGGCTGTCGATAGCCCGAGTCCCAACCCACACGTACAAGGACCAGACGAATTCTGATGTTATCACCAAACCCCAGGTGGCCACTTAAACAAAGTACTACAGTTTTCTCTAACGTGGTGAGAACTCTCGAGATTCTGCAGTAGTGAAATGCAATTTAAACATATAATACCCCCAACTTCTTGGTGCTTTCTCTATGTCAAGGAAGGAGTTTACCATCGCTGTTTGCCCGATTCTTTTAGGAAGAGGATGTAGCGCCTCGAGACTTCCTACCTGGTAGAAGAATTCAGCAATTGCAGCTAAATATGTGTATTCTAAGGAGAAAAAGCAACTAAGCGTGAGTCAGGCCAGCCCACAAGTACAGGGGCCAGACAAGTCCCAAAGCGATCACCAAACGTCAGGTGGTCAAATAAACAAAGCATTACAAAGGAGGAAGGGTTTAAGCTTTTAGTTGACTCGCAGATCACTGCACTCCGGTAAGAGCATGATGAAAGCCAAATTAATTGTCAATCATACAGTTAGTCCGATGAACAAAGCATTACGATACCAGTTAATAATGGTGGCTGGCTTAGAAACTTATACCGCTCTAAATCTACCCTAATCGTGGAATTTATCTTGCTTCCATTCCTGAGATGGGGTTGTTGGAAGGCTTTGTGCAATTGCCCTTGACCTTCCATATTTTTCCTAATGGGTAGGCTGGACTTCAGGCCATGTCAAAGGTCCTATCCTTTCCTTTTGTGCATGTAGCCATGCATAATGCCCTTCCGTACCTAAGAGAGAGTCTCAAAATGATTGCTTAGCACTTTAGGACTTCCTTAATAATGATTTGTCAGACAAACCTCTAAGATCAGCCACCGTGGACCCTTTACGACAGAATGGATACCATCGTTCAAACCAATAAATGGCGTCGCCTGTTTTGTGTATTCCTGTGCCTTTATATGGAAGAGGCGGGAAAGCAGTTCGAACATGAATACATTTCGTGAAGAAGTGTGCAGATATGTTCTCAGAGTGGCATCAGCTTTCAGCGTCATCAATCCTTCCGCATTTTCTTTCTTTCTTTGCGTGATGCCTAATAAAGCTCCCTCCCTCTCCAGAAGTCCGAAGTTCGATGGCCTGTAGGTAGGCGCTAAGGCCTTACAATTAACATTACAGTTTGATTTGACCTAAAGGGAAATACTTAGCTGTCAACTTTGTCAGTCATCTGAAGGCGGATGCTTGACCTCAAAAGCACTTTGCATCACCATAGTGTTAATTACGTCTGAGAAGTTGTTTGACTAGTAATTTGTTTTAGAAGACTGGCGATGTAATGCTTTGGTTATGCAACCATTCGATGCTTGACGGTTGCCTTGGCATTCGTCTTGCCTCTCTACTCGTAGGCTGCGCTTCGTGCCAAGCGAAGGTTTAACGCCTTCTTCTTCTCCTGACATGCATGCACTCGGCCAAACCTTACAACGTCATCCGCCTAGTGGAAAGTCTAATAGAGCTACAGAAAACATCGCTGATAAGCATGAGAATTACGGTCAGACGTTGCATGACTAGGCTAAAGGCAGATTTGTAGTGAAAGCTGTGAACCAGTCCAATGAAAGAAGGGAATAGCGTCCAAAACTTACAATTTTAAGGCTGCTAACATCGGCCACTAATTTACACAGCACCGGTGAAATCTTTAACCGCACCCGGCCGAAATTTATGGGATTTAATCATCATTATAAGTGATTTCTAAACTGCATGCAATCTTTTGTAAATTCGTTTTTTAACTTTATGTTGTCAAAATGAGTCGAGGTTCCATGCACTGTACGAAGGCAGAACTGTTTAATTTGTGAGTAATGACCCAGTTCCTAAAAATTAACATAAATACGAAATCGTTTGCTGTCATATACTTTTGGAACCACGACGCAAGAAAAATTACCATGAGACAAAAGTGGGTGACATGTCAACAAACGCCATCTTGCAAAGGAATGGGTGCAAATTATAGTGGTTCAAGATTTTTACACCTACTGATTGGTATCGCACTCGTAAAGAACCTTGGAGTAGATGATAGGGCATTGTGACTGTAGTAACCGCCTGTCTACCCTCTGGTGCCTGGTTCTCAGACTTCAAGAGGTTGTTGATTGTAGACGCTTTATTAGGCATTGCTATTAGGAAGAATGGGAATGGGTTATAGATGAGATGAGTTGGAGACATCAATCAGAGTGGGGCTCCTCGACGAATTCACGCACGTGATTCACGCTCCTGATTGGCTCCCGCCTCTCACCTATAAAAGTCCATTTAAAAAAACTAGTATCTATCACACAGCCCACTTCTCTTTCGAGCACTGTCCTCGATGCTGATTAGTGGAATTCCATCGGACGGATACTCCTTTTGGATACCGTAAGAACTTCGTCTTCGTAACCTACTGGGGACGGAACGAATATGGCCTAATCTGGTTATTATGTACTATTTGGGGCCGAGTAGCGATCTCTGCATTCCGAATGGGGTAACTCGTGAGCGACAGGGCTTTGATTATCCAGTAGGGTTCCTTGCTCCAGAGGGTTTGCGATCTTGGCGAAGCCTTTTACAGTGACAGCTCAACATCCGAGCAACCACAAACAAAACGCCGTACGGTAAAGTGTTATGCTTATGAGTTATTCACTTGGGCTTTGTGAGTCAGAGGGTGAATCGAGTTCGAAATTCTGCCAGAGGGGCAAGCGGTTCGGTCTCAGAGGCACTTCAGTAGTTTCCACTACAATCTCTCCTGATCATAACTTTTCCCGCTGTGCCCTGTACCGCTTTGTTTATGTGACTAGCTGACGTTTGGCGGTCAATTTAGAAGTTGTCTAACCCCTGTACACGTGGGCTAATCTTCGGGCCAAGCTCAGGTCCCATTTGCCCTGTCGTCTTCGGAATACGTTTATTTAACCTCACTTATGCCTTCTTCCACCCTATCGGAAGGCTTTGGACGATACGTGCAAAATGAGACATTGTGAAGATGGCAGGTCGATAAGTGACCCCCAAAAGGGGGAACGGAAGCTAGTGGTACAAAAGCTGTACGAAGTTCTTTCCTGAGTACCCCTGCGTTAATCATGAAAGAGTCTCGCGTTGCTGCTGTGCTAATCGCTTAGTGACTTCTATTTTTTCCAAACTGTGTCCTTCACAAATGTGCTAATCCCATAAAAGATCGATATTAACATCTGCAAGGCCTTGCGAATGTAATTATTTGTATGTCTGGCAATAGTTTCGTGATTCCCCTGGCTCTTTTACCTAAAGCACAATCATTTTTTTCTCTTTAGAATACTTGCCTCAAAGCCTGCTCAATGTCTTTTGTCGCCTTCTCTTCTGTTATTACGGTCGTAAGCAGCTTATTAATTAGTGAATGCTACAATTGTCCACCAACACTGCGGGTCGTATTTAGTTCTTTGCAGTATGTTTTCATTACAACCAAAAGTTTAAATTTTGTCCTAAGATTAAAATGTATCTTAAAAAACCAGTAATGTTAATTGTAGGTGTGCCCAACAATCGAACTTCAGTGTTTTAATATTTGGCTACTAGATGCGCCATTATAAGTATTCTTATTGGCGAGTAGAATACCTCGAGGCGGGTGTAGTTATAAGGCTTGACAGGTGGTTTAGTCCTGTAGTATAGTTGAGTTCTAACCAATTTCATCTGATTGCTGGTTGACATCTTTGCAGTAAGTTGACGTTCACTGTTACGGCTTTTCCTATTTTATTAAGTTCTCAATTGCAGTAGAAGGCTTTTATGGTGTATTTTGCTATAAGCTTGTTTTCTTCTGGTATTCCGAAGTATATTATTGCTGTCGCTGCACATATATTTAGGTGAATCTCTGATAGGTCTCTACCTTTAAAATAGCTGGAAGAAGTTGATCGAGGCAGATTTCAAAGTAGGCAGTGGAGCCATTTGAAGCATGTCAGTACGCAAAAGGCACAGCGTACGTCCGTCGTCTGCTTCCACCTACTCCATCTCTGCCTCTTCTTCTTCTTCTAACGAAGTAGATACGCCACTGCCTCAACGGCCTTCACGCGCACCGCCGAGACTACGTCGGCCTTCTCGTCTACCTGGCACTCTTTTCGTGATCATCCTCGCTATTCTCAGTGGCCTCCTCCACTGCGGCCATGTAGCCACCTTGCATGAGAATCATCTCTCCTTTGCTTACCTATCCAATGTGGAGCGGGAGCTAACCTTCCGATCTGAGATGGCCTTCTACTACTCTTTCTACAAGCAGGTCTTTTTTTCACTTTGTCTGCTTTCAAATGTGTATGCGTTTTGTTTTTAACTATCAGACATCTGTTTATTCGTTTATTTCATGGCATTCCGCTCATTCGTCCATTAACGTCCTTCTTTTGCCTTCATTCATCTCGTTTCCTTCCTTTTATCTATTCATGCATTTGCTGCTCACTGCATGTCTCTCCTTCATCCCTTTCACTAAAGTATTAGCATGATGTTCCGCCTTACTATCAGTTTATTCATCTTTATGCTCAGTGATTTTCATATCAATGCTTATATCCGACATATTACCTCCGACAGTTGAGTCACCACTTTACTAATTGGATTTACTTTCAGTGCATTCCTTTCTCCTACTCTGGCACCCATTTACTTGTCTACACCTGAGGTATCCGTTTTTTATTTCCGACTGCAGTGGTTCTCGATCCAAGCTTCTTTGCTTGGTGTTCCAACAATGTCCTTACTTCCCAATCTTGCCTCATTTCTTGCTGGTTATGCCACCAATGTGTGTAGACGATGATCCTAAGTCTGCTTCTAGCGATTTTTCCCCTCATTTCTTATTGTTTCATCCTTTTTTGACCATCAATATCGTAATTTTTGTCTTATAATTACGGACTTATAATTACGGACTCTAGTGATATTCTTTATGTATACTTTGTTCACGTAGCGATGTTTACGGCGGACTTATAACTTCTGTCTTTTTCCCTCAACTAGATACTTTTGGCGGAGAGCTTTTTCAGTGGACTGAACAGTCTTTTTAATGACACGATGACAGAATTTCCCGGTATACTGGGTGAGGTGGAGAATGAGTGGAACGTGGAGGAATGGGGGTTACTCCCAGCCAACTCTATACCTGGAGCAGTGACAAACGGTGTCAGAGTATTGGAGCGATTCAACGTCTACCCAGAGGTTATTTTAGCTGGTCTTTATCGCCTTCTCCGGTACTTTGATCTCCTCAACTCGGAATGCTTTGAGGTTGTCATTGAGGGCGTAAGTTTACGCTTAACTATAATCCTTACGTACGCTTGCATGGTTATCGTCCCTTAGTAACTTCACTCATTCAACTGGATTCACTGGTTTAGCCTCAGGCCATTCACCCCGCATTTGCACATCCCCTAGTCCGTATGCTTCGAATTCTCCATCTCTTTCCGTTCTTGCTTCTATGCATCCACCTACCTCCTCATACTCTTTATGCTTCAAACAGCTGCATGTTGGTTGGTTCTGTCGTCCGCTTACTTTGCTAATTTTTCGGTCTTTGTACATTCTTAGATCCCCATACACTGATTCATCTGTCTTTGATCTGGTTGCACATTTAATCTCAGTCATTAAGCCATTTTACCTATCTCTCTCTCCCTTCACCATCTCTTGATCCAGCCTGAGTCCTCAAGCTGTCCACCTGTTCATCAAAACGTCTGTTGAGCTACCCTTTTGTTCCTCAGAATATTCAGTTATTTAGTCCATTATCTCCTCCTCCACTTTTGCACATTCAAGCACGTTACTAACTCTTGTGTTTGTTATTTGTCCGTTTATTCATCTACTTCACTCTTCAGAACTCTTGCATATGATCTGTCCTCTCGGTCTACTCAGGTTATTTGTCCGTCCATTTGATTCTCTTTCATTTTTTTCCATCAGTAAGTCATGCATTTCCCTTTTTCGATCCCACTAAAGTAATTGGGATTCATGCCGCTTTGCCTCGCTTTGACGTCTACTATTCGGCTTTTGTTTCCTATTCATAGATAAGCAAAGCCCATGCTCTTGCCGTGCCAGCCAAACAGGTCGGAGAGAATTCGAGTTTCTTGCCATCTCTTCAACCAATTGGAACACTCACAGGAGGCAAGGTATTGAGTTGCGAGGGGTCTCGTGAACCTCCAATCTTCTACGTGAACAGCGTTTTTTGTCTCACTGGTCTCACCGTCGTCGGTTTGGTTCTCTCCGGTTGGTTGGTGGGCAGTAGCGGCAGCGGAGGCAGCTCTAGTGGTTGCAGCGTCTCTTTCGCCACCACTGTTTGGGGGGCTGTTTTGCCATTGGTAGGCTTCTTCTTCAATCACGCAGAGGCCACGCGAGTTCAATGGTCTCCTCCGCTGAGGGAGTCCTTTGCGTATCCCTTTTTTGTTCTCCAACAATCTCTCCTCATTTGGCTGTTACAGGTTAGTGCTCATTTCTGGATGGGTTGGGAAGGGGGAAGGAGGAATGAATGAAGGTTCTCACAAAATTCGCATGTGCAACATAATCAACTTCCTTATTCACCCAAGGACATTTTCGTCCTTTTGAAAGTGTGGACGTGGTGATCTGTTTGGAGGCAATTCGTTGGGCAGTAATCGCTCCTATGTACACTGAAACGTCCCATTCACTTGATAATTCAAGGCGTGCACGGAAGAACGTGGGGACACGAAGTTGTTTTTGCAATGAATTTTCTAGTCGTCTATCAAGGATGTGCATTATCACAGATTGTAGTCGTCAGGTTTACCCAGCGTCTTATTAGGCTTCAAGATGGTAGAAAGTCGCAAGGAGTTGCGTAAAGGGCACCAAATTGGTGGACTGACGCACACCCGTGCTGTACAGATTTAGGCAGAAAGGCATACGCGTGTAACGAGTTGCCTCTTCATACAGATAAGCCAGAAATGTGTGTGCGCTTGATTTGCGTCGAACAATGAATCAGCACCATGCTTCAGGCACCACCTTGAAGCACGTTCGAACATAGCGATGTCTAGTGCTTTTGTGCCTACCTAATCTACGTAGTGCATATTTTTATACACAGTAAGGTGACTGGTTGTTGATTGCCTTCGAATGGCAATGCTTTGAACGGAAGATCTCGGCACCTGCATCAGTCGAACTAATAGGCACAACTTCTGAGCTAGGTCATCACCACATCCCATCTTCATCGCTTTATTCAAACTTAATAGTCATTTTTTGTCACTCTCTTTCTAAGAATAGGAGGAACAATTTCGACTTGTCACCATTTTTCTCGGCTCCCGCAATGAGTTTCCTCCTGGTCAATAATGCTTTGTATTTTCTCTTTGCATGCAGGATATTTCGCCAGTCCGTCGCCAACATCGCCATGGCTTCTCTCACCTCTTGTACATTCTTCTCCTCCTCGCCTTCCAACTGCCTTGGCAGTTCGCTCAATTTGCTCTACTCACACAACTCCTAGCTCTCCTTGCTACCTATATAGTTGTTGCTTTGGTGACGTTCCTTTCGACTTTTCCTTCATCGATATCTCCCGTCACCTCCATCAATGTCATCTTTGGGGTGCTCTGCAGCCTCGCTCGATGTCTGTTGGATGTGGTGGGATGTCAACTGATCGCACTGATAATTTCATGGGCTGCACAGTTTGGGAATCGTTTGCTACTTACTTCTGCGTACCTGCCGTGCCTTGTTGGCTGTCTCTTTGGTGCGCGGTGAAGTAATTGTTTTTTCTTACTTGAGTCTATGACCGTTTGTTTACGGTCGTTCAAAAATGGTATCAAGTTAATAACGCCTTGCCTTTTTCTATAGTTTCACCTCTGCCCGTTTTATGCTTCCATTTTCGCTTCTAAGCAGCGGTGAATTTTGTAGTATCATTCCTCCGAATGCTCTCTTTCTCCCCTCCTCCTCTGTCCACCTTCCTTGGCCTGTTTTATGTTCTGATTACTTGTCCCTCTCTGAATTCAGATGCCCATTTCCAGTCTATTAATCCCATTCATTGTGTTAGGTTTGTGGTGCTCATGTTTTTGAACCTTCAGGATGCAATAATTTTGAAGCAAGGAAGATTTTAGCTAATAGATGCTTTTATCATTAAAGGTTTATAATCCCTTTGGTTGTATCACTTTTTCCTCGAGAACATAATCTTCGACTGGCTTCTTTGGCCAAGCTCTCTACCTCTCCTCTTTTTCTGTCTCTCCATGTCAAGTCTCTTGACTGTACTTGGTTCGCACGAATACCATTGTCCCTTTCAGCAAACGGGTCCCGTCATTATTTGCTATAGCGTCAAAACTTAAATTAGCTTATTTGCAGACTAATTTATTCAAAGGCCAGCTACAGATAGGCTTTTCTCATACAGCATGACCGATTACAAGCAGTCCTGCCTTGTTGTGTCAGTTACTGTTGTCGTTTCGTCCTTGCAGTAGATTGAACACGTTTTGTGCGAAGTCAAGTCCTTCCTGGCGTAGGTGCATGTCATGAGTGAGTGTAACCTAGGCTGAAATGAGGTCGTTTCCCAGGTCAAATCGTCCCTTCTACTAAAGTGTGGCTTCAGTAATCAAAATACCCTTAGCAAACCTTTTTTTTTCGTTGTTGTTGTTATAGGTCTATTTGTTCATTGGAACTTGTTGAACCGACGCAAATGGGCGACTTCCAGGACCGCTCGATGCGGTAAGCACTTGGTCCTCCCCTCCATCATCAACTTCTTTGCCTTCATTTCACCACCCTCTTGATTCGGCCATCTGACAGTCGTCATTGCATTCACAGCCGTCAATCATGCGTCTACACTCTCCCTCCCTCCTTCTGAGGATGGTTTGGCTACTTTAAAGGACAATATTAGGAGGTATCTCTATTATGAATTGGTCTCTTAAAGACCATGACTATGGAAGAGTCCGGGAGGGTAATAAGTGTCATAAGACGATGGGTTTCACTTTGTGCAAGTCTTGGTCTTTATAAGACTTCAGAAAGCCCCGCCTTATGCTGTCTTTTGTCTACCTTGACTCCTCCATGACCAGGTGTTTGTCCGACTTCAGGTAGAGGTAACCCTTGGCTCCTTTCCTCCTCTCCCACGGATGAATTATCCGATACGAAGTAATGAAGTGGCAAGGTGCGTTTTTAACAAGCGGTATTTTCTGTAGGTACTGTATCACACATTGGCAACCAGCGTGTTTTGCAGAAGAGTGGTCGGCTTGTGTAATGCGCGCGCAATTCTGGAAGCAGTCGTTGTGTTTGAAACTGGATCAAAACTGAATTTACCTTCGTTCATACAATCACAGTATGTAGCAGTTGGTTGTCTGACCGATTCCGGCCACCATTGAGGATTGGACTAAACTTTGGTCCCCATCATAAATAAATCGTTCATACTGGTGTGCTAGTGTCTCTCAATCGGCTTAGAACCGCAAAGAAATTCAGCTTCCCATTCTTGAGCCACTCGTTGTTGGAGATCTCGATCCATCTGAAAATCACCTTCCCACTCATGCAAACAACAGTATTTTTATTCACCTCCCATTTTCCCCTTCCATGTATCCACCTTTGAATCTAAGCCAATCGCACAAAATTTTGCTCTTCCTTTATCGTAGTCCATCTGCCTGTTCTGGTGCTGACCTGTTTGACGGTGGCTTTGGGTGTGCGTTTAGTGCTGCATCGTGTGGTGGTTGATTTCTCTGACGGTGCGCATATTGTGGATCTGGTGAAGGTGAAACTCCTTCATGGCAATCGCACTTTCCACACCCAACTTTATACCTGCTCTGAGACTTTCGACTTCCTTCCGGTAAGCCCAATTATCACAGCTTTAAATCAATGCGTTGCTTTTCTTTAATTGCTTCTCTTGCCTACCTGATCAACTTGGTCATTTCGCCTGCGTTCATTTCTGTGAGATCTGTCTCTTCCGACCCATTCAAACATTTCTCGCCCAACCTTTCTCCCGTTTGTTCATTCACTCATCTTTCTTAGCTTCCTGATTGTTCCATTAGTCTGCTACTAACCTCCTCTCCTCCCTCTTTTGACTTCTCTTCCTCTTGCCTTCTTGTTTCTTACCCCTCTTAGATAATTTTAGATAATTAGGCTCTCGAACATTTGTTTGCACAATATATGTGGAATGCAACCTGTCAAAAGTACATAACCTTGTTGCCATTCGACCTCAATTAAATAATCTTAGTTAGGCTATCCGATCTCTTGTCTGTCTTCAGCGCAGTCAAATTTGATTGTCGCTTTCCGTCAAGGCATACAAATACTGTCTTTGAGTAACCTCAAAAGGTGATTGTGCTTCCTACTAATTTATGAGTAGAGGGAAGTGGGAGGGGCCCTTTATCACGCTGCTAAAAGTCACCATTAAAGCCGAGAGTTGGTCTCCCTCCCTATTGGTGGGAAAGTAAAATTGTGATGGGCTTGGATAATTGGGTTTTCGCATTCATGACCAGTACAATGCAGATGTTTAGTTCACCCCAGCCTAATGAAGCTATCCGCTTCCTTTTCATGACAAACGAAGACCTAAGGATGATTCTACTGGATGCAGGTTAACCACAAATCACGCTTATTTACATCACTCTTGTGTCAAGTGGTCAGAAATGGAGACTTTGTCGGGGGAATTTCTGTTCTGTTTGGTTTTGCAGGTGAAATGAAGGGTGGAAAGGTTAGTTACTTTCCTCAATTGATTGGTTCTGTTTTCCAGGTGGTGATTGGTCAGAATTGGATACCTTTCTGATTGGTCAAGACGTGTGGTGGCGTCTTTGAATCTCTTCGCCGTCTCTAGCACAAAAGTTGCCATGAATGAGTCTAACGTCTACACTTAAGTTTGTTGGTGATGGGTGAAATGGCGGAAACAGAGCGAAAAAGGAGAAGTATTCCTCCCTTTTTCCCTTGATTCCCATTGGCGATTCAATGGAAAGTTTACCACCAAAGTGCAGGGCTTGTGCTTAAATTTGCCGAGGGTGTCAGTCTCATATGGGACCATATAATAGCTTTGAAAGCTTCAAGTGTTCTATTCTGATTTTACCTCCTAATGGTCCCCTGCAGATGTCCACTTGGTTCGAATTGACACGGACCGGTTTGCTGCCATGTGCGGTGTTAGCAGTTCTTGTCACTATTCGACAACTTCTTCTTCCCTGTCGATCAGACCACACCAACTCCGCTTCCGCTTCTTCCGCTACATCCAAAGCAGCGTCGGCAAAAAAATCTGATGGAAAAGCCGTAGCAGAATACGATAGTGAAGTTAGTGATGGAGAGGCTGGAGCATCCACAGTTTCATTCAAATCTCGATGTTTGCAAGAACAAATCCTCTTGGCCCGGGCAACACCTGCCTTCATTGCCGATGTCATCTCCGTCTTTGTCATCATGCAGGTGGGCTGACTGTTTCAGATACAAATCGTAGTTTAATCTTTACTGTTGTTATATAAATTTGCTTTATTCTCTCAGCTTTTGGCATTTGGGGTGCTAGCGGTGCTAGTGATGCGGTTGAAGCTTTTTTTCACACCACAACTCTGTCTCTCACTGGCAATTCTCAGTCAGCATCGTCTCTACTTTGGCTCGCAAAAAATTTTGCCTCAAATAATGCCCGCTACTCAAAGAGGAACAAAGAAAAGACGCAAGAATGCTTACAATCCCACCGTTGCTGTGCTTTTACCGTCGTGGAGAAAGTTGGTAGTCCTTCACACTGTCTTCATCCTGGCGGTGACTTTTGCTGCACAAAGGGGAATGCATAACCTTCGAGTGAGTAGTTGCTTCTACTTATTATTTGAAATATTTCTGTACCAGTCTCGGTCATAGTTCTTGTTCTATTGTATGCGTGGTTAGGCTGTTTCGTGGGCACCTCTTCTTTTGTTGTTTGAATGGTCGAATTAACCATCTTTGAATTTTCTGCTATTTACATTCTACTTATTTTAGTTAAGTAAAAGGTATATATGGCTTATTTGTGGCTTCTGAATGTTTTGTACATGGGTCTACATACCGATTTCGGTCCACACCAGATTATTTGAGGGGAATAACGTTTTAAAAAAGAGCTGAAGAAAGCCATACGTGCGTAATACATCGAGCATCGAAGCTTGCTTTCTATGTTTGAGTGTAGGAACTGACAGATGTCCACCATCCCTGCGTACTTGCGTTGTGCCACACGCTCATGCCCACAAAGTGATTGTTAGTAAGCGATTATGGCACTTTTAATCCATTTTTTGGACCCTAAAAAGTTCCAATGAATAACGGTTAAAACGCGAGGATGCGTAGAAAGGACATTTATTTGCAATCGCCTCGAACGTCTTGTATTCATTTCATTGTAGGAATCCAGAAATGTAATGATGGGTAGGGTCGAATTTAGCATCGATGATGCTAGTTTTGCCGTTTTTAGAATGCGTCTTGGAGATTATTCACTTCAACACCTTATTCAATCATCATTGGAGTTTAAAGTTTCGGTATTTAAGGAAACTAATGGTCTGTTGGGTGCTTGCTTTTTAATTATTTGTCCCAAATTCAAAATTACTGGGAAAGGTCTTTGAATGCTATGTCAACTTAGCAGTATCAACAGTCAATGCGAAAATAGAAAGTTCCTTTCATAGGAGGAATGGAGCAAGCATGGCCAATTCTCCGCCTTTGCCATGGAGACACTGCTTCACTGGGCTGCCCAGCTGCCGCCTCCACCACCAGCTCCTCATCCAGACGTGTGGGTGTTCAGTGGTGCCATGCCTACTATGGCGACGCTTCGTCTTGGACTCGTTGTGCCCTCACTCCCGTCTTCGTATCCGTCGACAGCCAACGTAACACGTGGTCAGCGAACGCAGTTTGCGGTCACCAACCACCCTCACTATGAGAACGCCGCGATCCGTCGGCGCACTGAGCTTGCTTACGCAGTATGTAGCCGCAAGCCAGCGGAGGCAGTGTGGCGCATTTATCGACACATTTTAAAAGTAAATCAGTCGTATTTACTTCCTCATAAAACGCTACTGAAATGGGTGTAAGTAAAACTTAGATTACTTTGGAGCTGAATGCATTCAATTTTTTTAGCAACCATGCGAGGTGAATGCGCTTTTAGTCCTTTTGTGAAACCGCATAATCACTTTTGGGCTTATTACCTGGGTTAACACTGAACTACTTGGTTAATTAGGATTTTTTTAACTTCTACTACCTATTCTACGGTTCCACTGGCAGATCGTAGCACCACATTTCTGGGCGTAATTTAGAGGGAGTGCTTTTGAACTGTCACAAATAAGGTTTTTTCCATTTCTTTAGGTAAATCAATCCTTGTTTGCCTCCTATCTATAGGTTGATTTCGTTGTTATCGAGCGCGATTGGTGCCTCAGCTCTGGAGCCAAACCGGGTTGCACTTCGGTGGAGTTGTGGGACCTTCTTGATCCAGCTCTGGCTTTTCATGGTGCTCCGGGTCCATTATGTAAAGCAGCTTTCGATGAGACGCCTCCATCTGAGTCAATTTCGCGTTTTTTTAGCCCCGTGTTTAGGTCAATTGACCGTACCTTGGTTGTGTGGCGTGTAGCTCCTTAACTTGCATTTGTTTTGGTTGGCCATTTTCCCTAGCATGTATTACTTTGTAATGTTGTCGTATTTTATCAAATTATGGGCTTAGAGGGACTTTGCGAATAGGCGTAGGCTGGGCTTGCTTCGTTCATTAGTACGTTAGCATAAATCCCGTTTTATTCTCTCCCTCCTATATCTCCTTTATCAGCCCCACCATCTTCGTTTCCCTCCATTTCATGCAATATCGCTTCTCCTCATTTTTTGTTCTTCCACAAGCCTACAGAATACTCTGTCTCGTATTCACGAAATCATTCATTTGTACATCACAGTGCAAGCTTCTTTCTCCCCCTGTGGGTTTCTCGCTTTATCTGTTTCCTTGTCGGTCTTCGCATTGCCTCCTAGTCTCCCAGTCGGCCACTCAACCAAACAGCGTTCCAACTCCTCCCCTTACTCAGAGGCTAAATTTTTTCTTCCGTCCGTCCAGCTCTCTATCGAGGTAGCTATTGTAGTGCCAACTTTTTTTATCAGTCCAGTTATCCGGTCATCTCGACAATTGTTCACTTGTTAATTCCTCTGATTCTTGTGAGTTCGAACATCGACTCAACCTACTAGCTCTACCCTCTATTCTTTAGTTCATTTCTTCGCTCACTCCTGCATCATATTGCCCTATCCGGCTATCACTACTTTCTCTCGATGCACCTTTTCCAGCCGTCCTTGTGTTTGCTTATTCACTTACTTCTGCGACATCCACATTTATCCTGTCCGTTCTCATTTTCGGTCGACCACCCGCTCCATGCAAATAAATTCTTTCCGGCGTTATCCTGCCTGTTTCAACTTCTTTATCCTATCATCCATGGTAGTTTCATTCATCTCTCTACCCATTTAAAGTCGCAATGCCTCAAAGCATCATTCATTTGCTTCGCGTAGGGTGACGCTTTTCTTCACTCACTTGTTCGCCTTCAATGTGAATGCACAAGAGTGCAGTAGTAAAAGATGTCTTGTTTGGCGCTTGGGTTAACGGTAATATGTGCATGATTTTCAGTCATACGGTGTCCTTGTCATGATCAAACGGTAAGTCAAAATCACACGGCCGTGTGGGCTCTTCTACTGTTGTGGCATCCTCACTTGCGTCTGCCGTCAGTGGCCTGTCGACACTCTCTTGGGTTTGTACGTCACCGGCCTTGTTCTCCAAATTTGATGTCCATCTACGATATTTAGCTCGAGCATTTTGAAACCAAACCTATGAGGTTTAAAAATAGGGCTTAAATATTAGTTTCTTACATGAGTGCTTCTTATCTTTTTGATTTTCTAGTTTTACAACTCGTTATCTAGCAGCAAGATTTAAGTGGGAATTATCACGTTTCAAAAAGTGGGAGTTGGTGCACCTATTAAGAATAAAATAGGAATGCAATATTAAAACATAAATATGCATAAAGAATTGCAATAATTTGGTAATATTTACACTTAATATCATCTCATCGTGCCATCTAACCTGAAGGACGCGTTTTGATAGGTTGGTTTGGGCGGACAGCTGTCGTAGCTCTTTGGAGTCGGGATTTTGATTCACCCTAAAGTAAGCCTTCATTAAACGGAGTTGATCGTGCTTGAAGGACGTTCGAATTCGTTTTTGAGGATTGTCTGAAGCGAGTGAAACGCTAGAGATGGATTGGCACCTTGCCTTTCCTTGCATTTCTTCACCAGTTACTGTTGAACGGTAAAAGTGGTTATTAATTTGATCACTATGGTAAAGCGACGCTAACTGAACTCGTATACTTATCAGCGAAAATGAGTTAATTTAAATGTGAAAAGTAGGACTCTGTTGCGTTTCGGGGACACTGAGGAGCTCTTACACTGCATTTCGTGACCCTCACCTTCAGTGGAGGAGGATGACGCGGTTATGATCATATTGCCAGAGCTGGTACTGAGGTTTGGAGTCATCTGAAAAAAGGGAGGGCGGTTTCGCGCTTTCCGAGACCTCTGTTGGCGGCAGTTGAGGCAGGAGACACCATGGCGTCCATCGCCTTCCACAAAACACCGGTCACCAATTTGAAATGTCTTTTCACAGACTCGACAGCGGAGACATTCGACATGGAAGGAGAGACCCATTTGAAAGGAAATGACGAGATCGCCTTCATGAAAACGTCGATCGCAGGTTGGACATGTAGCACAGCTGTTGCAGCCGATAAAGAATGTGCATGGGTTGGTGATCTTGGAGCGAGTCTATCGGGGTTGACGTTCTCAACTCGTGCTTAACATCATGGATTAAGGTGATCGAGGTCTCGAAACTTATTGTCTCTCAGTACTGATAAGTGCTGTGATGTTCTAGTTGATGGGTAATTGAAACAGATGATTTTTCGGTCCATTACTAACGCTCATTAAATATTTCGGTGAAGATAAAGGGATTCACATCTAGAGATGAAAGCTAAATAGTGAGTTGGTATCTATTCATATTTTCTCTTAACAGACTTTGCATCATAAAAGGCAAGGTTCATTGTAAGTTGTGGAAGCGAATCAATTAAGCTGTTATCGAACGCCAAAAAAACACTATGTGTAGTCGAAGGAGGTAAATTTCACCGAAACGGTAAATCTGCGGACATTAACAATTCGCCTGTTATAGTATGAAAATAGAGGGAGATCCGTTTGCTCAGCTTGCTTTTCTATCTTTCATCACTAATCTTAATGGGTACGGGAATCATGCGCCATCATCTGTTTTGTTCACAATGTGAGTGTACTCACTTTCCATTTAAGATGGATTAACTGCTCAACATTGGTGTTGATTTTACTCTGCAAGGCCGCCATCAATGTACGTGTTAGGAAATGATAATTAAAAATATGGTACAATAATTTTCATTCCTAATCAATGAATTTCTGTAATTTTAACTGGGCTCTTTTTACAGACCAAGAAGCGGTGACCTAGGGCAAGCATTCATCGACTAAGTGTACCTACTTTGAGAAACAAAGTGACGTTCTCGCCTCTCTTACCCATTAACTCACTTTGCATAGTCTTGCCAACAGAGCAAACGTCCCTTGTGATGATAACACGATGTTTGCCACTGGAGATCACAGCCACAAAGCGCGCAGCGTAAGCATGTTGCGTGCCAAAACTGGCCGTCGGCAAGGAGGTAATGGCGCTCCACGATTGGTTTGCCGCAGTTCGCGCAGACAATGCTCATTGGCTGGTCGGGAGACTCGTAAATAGCCTCATAGGGGCTAACAACCGGATCGCCCATCTAAGTTTGTAGGAGTACATATGGAAAGAAATAATATTCGGCCCAAATAATAACATTACAATCAATTTCATTTACACAACACATTTTAATGAATGAAAGTCAAAAAGTTTATGTAGGCTATAAACCACTATTGTACATTGAAATGCCGTCGATGTGAAACCACTTATTTTCCGTTTTCGCCAACTTAGAAAAGGAAAAGTAAATCCTGGCTTTGGCCCTATATAAGTCAAAGGGAAGAAAGGGGAAATTTTTATGAATTTCAAATGGTTCCTTTACATGAAATGTCATTAAAGATACTTGGCTCTGAACAGATTGTTTTGTGCTTCGTACGGCTTTGTTCAGTATAGCACAGTTTAGCGAAATCTATGAGCGATAAAATCCGGAGTTAGTTGAAGAATCAGTGATTGCTTAGCTGTTAGGTTATAGATCGGCAGGTGAGATTGAATATTAATCTCAGTGGGAAGCAGAGCCACGTGGGGAGAAGGGGTAGATGAGAGAGGAGAGAAAGTATGAAACACCCCCTCCTCCAGCACTCATGCCTCCTACTGCGCGTGTGTTGATTTAACCTCGATAGCACAGGACAGAGAAGTCAAAGGCAAAGCATTAACTTCATTATATGCCCTCTCACCAAAAGATCCACTAAGCCCTCCTTTAATGGACAAACAAATATAGCTAAAAATCCACTCTTATAACTCCACTTTATCCATTTGGTTAAGAAGACAGAGTTGATCTTCATTTGTATAATCTGTAGCTGTTTTAAATCTTTCAAGGATAAACATTTACATCCCACAATCAAGTAGCGTCGATTAAATAACAAAATATGGAGGAATAAAGAAGATGGGTTGATCTTGCACGATGCGGACCTATTCACATTTTCATACTGTGACCTCTGCTAGCATAGCCTTCAGTCCCTCTGTAGTGCTTATAGTCTTTATTTTAATTTTTATTATTTTTTATTCATCCCTGAATTTCAAGAAGGTTTAATAAGTGCATGTAGGACCAGAAAAACAAGTTACTTATTTGCGTTTAACACAAGTAACAATAACAACCTTTGGATGAGCAAAATATAGTACAGTGTTACTTAAGGGGATAAAAAATTGGGTTCTTAGTTCAAAACCCGACTCTACAAAGCGCAGTACACAATAAAATTTTTACACGCTATTCCTTAGAATAAGCGTTCTATCAAACAGTTTGATAAGCTTTTTAGCACCACATAATTCGGTACAAAGGTTTTGCAGACATCAAGAAGAAATAAGTACTGCTTTCCGAAACGTATAATTTCAGCAAAACTAAGAGCATGAGCATGACAATAGCAGAATTAAATCAGGCAAATCGACTTTAACTCAGCAAAAATTCCTAATACATAATTCGCTTGCGTAAACATACACCTCATATGAAAATGCACTTACGCATTTACCATTAACAAAAAACTCTTAATTTTATCTAGGTATGGTTCCCAATTAAATTTTGGACTACTTAAAATTAACGATGAATGAAGAAATAAGGTAACCGCAGAAACAGCTAACTCACATGCTTTGAGGTCTCTGGATAGAAGCATTCATCTACGGGAAAAAGTTCCTCTTCTATATTATGTGAGCACTCCATGAAGCTGTACGACTGACTGAAATGGTTTAGTGCAGGTGCCATAGTGACGAGACTGGACTATTTGGTGCCCATGAGGTCCGCATAATGGTTCGATAGCGCTTCTACGACTGATTGGGCAGATCCAACCAATGGAAAGCCTATGCGATCTTCCCTTATGTTTTGATTGGCTGGTTGAGTAGTAGGGATGACTAGGCATCAGTCAGCGAGTTGGAGACAGACTTCAAAAATTTTAACTAAAAAACTTGCATTTTCTTATTTTAATTTTGAACAATTATTAACGTTATTCTAGAGCTGTTTACCTTTCTCCTAATCCGATTAAAATTTGGTGACTGATAATTTCTTCGGCTAGCAATGCCTTCTGAATGGAGTATACAATTATAGTTTATGCCCTTTTCATTCCAAAACATGGCTTATTTTGCCTAAATCACTAAGAAGGCAGTGATTTTGATTCCCTTATTTATCCAACCAATTTATTTTGAAAACTGTTACTCTGATTAATTGAACACCAACGATTAGCGTGTCAGAAGAATCAGGTTCACACCTGTGCGTTGTAAAAAAACCAAAAGTAAAGCAAAGAAAACAGGCAATCGCACTTGTTTTATTATGGGATAATCCCTAGCATTAGCATTCATCGATCTCTGAGAAAGTTCTGTATGAATTCCTTTTGCTCGGCCTCAACATTTTCCAACGACTGCAGTTGCAATCGAAGTCTGCGAAAAGAAATAGACCACTGGGTAAGCCAAATAGATAATCAGTTTAAGACTGTCAGTTGGTAGTAGAAGCGTAAAATTACTGCTCAAAGATGACTTGCATCCAATCAAAAAAGAGAAGCAATGAACTATTTTTTTATTGGTTGGACTTCAGGAACCGTGGAAACAGTTTCTGTGTTCGAGTTTACCACTCAACTACACTTTCGGTGAAACTCAACCTAATTTTTTTTCCTTTCTGCAGTGGGCCTGAGCGCAACAAGTCACATAGACGTTATTTGGTCATGACACGTGACCTTTGTGACCCTATCCGTTGCTAGGGTCATAAATAACCTGTCATACCATGTTATATGGCCAGGGGAAATTAGTCACTCGATATCGGGCTTGTCCTCTAGGTGTAGAAATCCTCAAGCTTTGCCCAACTAGCATAAATACTAAGAATAAATGGTCAAGCGTCAAGTGAGCCAACACTACGTTTAGCACGAGCTAACACCACTTTATTGCCTACCTGACTCTAAAAGGCAAATATTATTGTATCACAGAATTCCGTCCAGATTTTGACTACGTCACATTAATTGCATAAAGACTTATCACATAATTTGGTCAATGATTTGCAGTTTTATAGATCCTAATGATGAACACGGTCGCACTGCATCGCTTTGGTTCAGTTGATCTTCAAATACGAAATGAATTCCAGAGGTTAGTAAAGAGCGCATGAAAAGATTTTTTGCCATTAAACATAGCATGAGCAATATTGATTCTGAAATAATTATTAAAAAAAAAAACAAATAAATACTGGTAAAGTCGATCCATACGGGAACACTCGGTACCAAAATTTATTAGTGTGTGTCAAAACAAATATTTTGGCTTTCCTATAAGGTTATTTGTGACTGCCAATTCAAATAAAAGAAAAGGATAAGAACAATAATAATCGATTATATTTTTCTGTTTTGAGGCAGCTCCACCTTGAGCCGTTTTAGACCAGTCATTTTTGTTTTGTATGGCCTACCTAAGCGTTTCTTGAGTAATCTGTAACTTGTTTCAATATAATCCTTCATTTTTTTCATTTAATTCTCAATCACTTTCCGCAAAAAAGAAACACGATTATCTCCATGAGGTGCACCTGTGTGTTGTCAAGAGAACACATACCGATGGCAGTAGAAGCGCCAGCAGAGGCAGCAAGCAAGTTTCCCTTCCCTCCCCTTTTTAACATAGCAAACACACATGCACACACATATCCATTTGTTTGCCTTTCTTTCTTTCCTTTCACCACATCTTCCCCCTTTCGGCTTCCCCCTCCTCCCTCCCGCTTCCAACTTCTCCCACCTACCATTCAAACAGAACCAATTTAGCCGCGTTGCTGTGGGCAGTGTCATCATGGCATGCGAAAATAGCAAGGAGCAGGAGATAGGGGGAGCACAGTCAACTGCAGTTAGGAGTCAGCAGGGATAATTGACTACCCACTGTGGCTATCGCGTTGCAGGTGCGCATGTTTTTAAAACACCAGGCAGCCACATTTTTCGCCCCTGCCTCGTCCTCTGCACCTCGACTTCGTCGCTTAAACGACTGTGGATGGGTTTTATACACGCATGGTGTGTCTTGGAGACACACGGTGACTCCGCAGGCGCAAGGGGCTGGAGAGAGGGGTGGCACACACAACTAAGAAAGGTGGAAAGGAAGGAACACGTTTCTACCCTCTTCTTTCCCCTACTCATGTGTGCAAGTTTACCTTTTAAGGGCAATTTGCAAATTACGTTGAGGTTATTCGCTTGTGGCATACAGTAGCAAACATTTTAAAACCAAAAAGCAACAGGTGAGTAAATGAAAGAGTCTGCCACTAAAAGAAACTATGCTGTCAGAGGGCCAGTTGAAATTGTGTGATGGATAATGATGGAGTTGACTTATCTACTGAGAAGTGAGAAAATCAAGATACTTACAAACCTAATCTTATGCATAAGAGCAAAGAGCCACTTTACTTTGCTAGTGCATTTGTGTCGGGCCGTTTGAAAGCAAAAAAATGCTAAGAAAAGGCAGGTGAGGTAGTCTTGCCAACAACCACGTCAGTGATACTGATATGGGAATGATTACAAATGAGTTGTAAAAAGTGGGCAAACTTGATTTACCATTCGCCAAACCAAAAGTTCTGCTTATCAAAAAATAACAGACACAGTGTCAACCTTCTAAAGCGGCTGACATTTTAAGTCACACAGCCAATTATCAGAACTAGGAGCTGTCAAGAGGACTGTCACGGAACTGTCAGCAGCAGCGCGGTGGGACAACTTTGCCAATGAGGGACAACAGTCCTTAACAGAGACATGGCTAATAATTTCCCTTAGAATGAATTTTATTCAATAGCTTACAAAATGCGCTTAGATTTCAGCGATTTGTAAATTTTCTTCTAGACCATCCTTAAGTGATTTTGTATGTGCCCAAATCTACCACCATTAATTTCGTTAAGGTTTAGAGTTTCGGTTTTAATTACCCATCAAAAGTGTAGTGTTCAAAAAAGGCATGCTCTGTACTGCGACAATACGCACTAATTCAACGGTTCTAATTCCTCAATAGGACTTATAGATAGCACCAGGATAAAATGGAAGCAAACATGCCGTTCGCATTCAATCCGAGCTTCGAGAATCCTTGTTTTCAGAAGACCCTGCTCCTCCCTCCTCTCTCGATCAATTGCCTCCAATTGATTTCGTGAGCAGATGCACTACGTATTAATGCTACTAATTACAATTAAGTAAATATAATAGCATTAGGCCAGAAGAAAAGCATGCAAATGAGCAACCATATAAATTACTTGAAGCAGGAAATCGAGTGCTAAAAGTTCCAGCATCTCACTTTTATCTTCATTTTTTCAACCTTTGCAGAAATGGTCTCAAAAAGTTCCATAACAGTCTGTGTAACGGACTGGAATTCCTCGGTCTCTACAAAAGATGGGAAAAATTGAAAGAAATGAACATGCTACAAAATGTTCAGCTAATACATTCTAGTAACTATTACACGTTTAACACTACTGACTTCAAAAATTGAATGATTAGTTCACTTAATTATGGCCTATATGTAGACCAACAAAAATCGCAATAGGTGTTTGTGGATAGGATGACAGTAGTGCAAGCTGATGCCTTAGATTAAATGCGAAAATTCTTTAAGTAGTAGAGTATAAATATCCAAAACTTAAAATCTGCAAAATGCTCAGCGTCGAGTGAAAATCAAGGTTGGTTCAATTAATTTTAAAAACGGGTATGGATTTTAAATAACTCATCAACATGGCACATAACTTAGCAGAATACTGCTAGCTTATAAGGATAACGTAAATATATATAATGCGAACATATCTGAATTGGTGCTCTATATTTTGTTATCCGAAAACATCGGACACATTAATAGTTTAATGAAAAATTACTATTGATGAAGTCAGCGCATTCATCCTTAAATTCTTGGGTTGATTGTGCTATCGATGGATCTAATATTCGTAGTTTGTTGAAATCATCAACATAAAGCCCAGCTTTCGCTAGATTCGCAGCCATTTCATAAGGTCGAAGTTTACGTTCGTGCTATAACATTGACGCTGTAAAACAAAATATTGCATTGACAAATTAAGGGTTCTGGGGATTTATCAAATGTTATGATTAAAAGTTTTAGCTTTATAGCAAATCAACTAGCAAAGAGCGCTTAATATTAAATGTAAAACCCGTTACTATTTTAATAGGCAATTTGCTTTCCTAAACGTGGTTGTTGAAACAAATGTTCTACGGCATCCAAATGATAGCAAAAAAAAGCAACAGCTGTTTCTTAAATAGATCTTAATGGTTCTTATTCTCCATATTTTAGAGAATATTCACCACCATATTTCTATTACTTAAACAGTGACTTCTTGTTTACATGATAACGCAAATAGAGGTGATACAACACTTCAGCATCACACGAATTGCAAACATATAGTTAGGCCGAATAGCAGATAACACCCGGAAAGAAAATCTTCACGATCCTCACGCGCCGAATTTGTGCTTGTGTTTTTTGGTTGCATCACTGGAACCTTTTGTAAAATTCAAGAGACCACGTTTGGATATCTCACAGAAGGAGTTCAGGGCTGTTGCTTAGCTAGTTTGTTGGTTCACTCAGCTTTGGCAAAATGGACACTATATGTGGTTCAAAAGGAACAAAATGTTTAAATAGGCAAAGATTTGCTGTAGAGCACCTATTAGGTCAGTTTCCAAAACGAGAAACCAAAAGTGACAGTTACTATTTTTTCTCCCACAATCTTTTAGCAATTCGCAATCCTTCTCTCAGCGAACATCGTTAAGTTATGGTTGTTAAATCATGCCACTAAAGTTTGCAATTCTGCAGAACAAAATGTGGGGTAAACAAAATTGAAGACCTTAAACACATGACTATTTGAGGAGTTTTTACCTAACTATTCATTCATTTGTGGGGTACTTGTGCGTCAAACACGCAATCATGCAACATTATCACAAGGGTTTAGCGTTGCCTACTTTTGCCCTTCTATTTCTCCCCTTTGCATGTGCTAACTATCTGGAAGCAATTTTATTTGTGCCAGTGGCTATGTTTTAGCAGGCCAAAAAAAGAAGTGGTTGAGCGATTTGGCATGCACACTGTGTGAAACACGAATATCAACCATCAATTTTGTACCTCAAATAATGCCTATACGGAATGAATACTTCAACCAATTGAATTGGGGACAATTTGTGTTATAAGCTCAACCTATGCCTACTATTTTCGAAAAAAGTAGCAAATTGAGGGAATAATGGCTAATACGTTAACACGTACGAAAAAATATTGCAAAAAATGTCTTTTATAAATGCATAAGATCGGCCCATCATTTTGCCAATCTAAAAAGCAATGACATTTCAGATTCTTCACAGATGTTCGGATTTTCCGGTAATCGAGAGTCACATGCGTCCAGAAAGTCGTCTCAGCGGATGGGAAGAATTGTGAGCAAAAGGAGAGGTAAGCACACAGTTGCAGTAACATCTACTCGGATTCCTAATTGTCTGATTTATCCCAGCACTCTCACATCTCCCCTCTTATTCATTCATTTTGTTTAAGAAGTAAATCAGAAATTTACGGTGCCCACTAGGTTTAGTGAATGCGGTTTATAGTTGCGTCACAATAGTGCCATTCGAAGAACAACTCGAGGGTCCATCAAATTCTAGCAAAAAATTGTTGAATTCAATGAACGAAGTTGCAGGGCTTTTTTCTGTCCCTTGTTTATGCATGAAGGCAAGGCAATCGTCATATCGGTGTTTTAAGAGATACGAAAAGAAAAGTTAAATATTTGCACGAGTAGAATGCAGCAAAATAAAAAAGACAAAGATTTTAAGACTAAAAGTAATGTTGGTTCGGACGAAATTAGCATTACGAGATTGGAAGGTGGAAATAGTCCTGCATCCACCCACCTTCAACTTGTTATCAGTCCCATTTCACGTGTGCAGGCACAGCACCCGACCTCGCCATCTGACTACCGTTGGCTCTCTCACCATCACACTTAGCACTTAAGCCGAAATGATGCGAAAGCACGCAACACATCACGTCAACACACCTTGAGTTCATCAAGAAGGACTGGCACATCGTCTCACCTTCACTGCAGAGCTCACCAGGAGGCACATTTACAAATGCATCCCACAGTTGTGCTGTCCACGCCTCACACTCCAACACACTCACA